GGGGATGGGGGAGCTCGGGGATGGGGAGCGGGCCCTGGCGAGAGGCCCTGGCTGCGGTGATGACTTCTCTTAGGACACCTTTGGATTTAACTGTGAAAAAAAAAAAGCGTGATTTCTGAGCAGCTCCTCCCGTTCACTGCAAGACGAACGATGCGGGTTGTGCATGTCTGTATTAGAAGCGTAATGTGGGGGGGTTTATTTGCCCCTTATTAATTGCTTTTTTTGCAGTTGAGCTGACAAGATGGTGCGCTACTCTCTGGACCCAGAGAACCCCACGAAATGTGAGTTGAGCTCATTCGTGAACGTTGGCGGAGGATTTCAGACAAGCCGTTTAAAGCTTTAATTCTCAAACTCGATCTTTTCTTTCCGCAGCGTGCAAGTCGCGGGGATCCAACCTGCGAGTCCATTTCAAGGTACGCGGCGTCGGCGTAGTGGGAAACTCGAATTCACTCCGGTTTTGGGGGTGTTTATTTTGAAGGAAGTGTCTTTTCTCCTCTGTTGCTACATAGTCACTTAGGAGTGGTAGTGTGAGTTATGCCTTGTGGTGGTTTTTGCTGCTTGTAATCGTTTTTATCCACAAGATCAGTAGCCACGTGGTGGGTCCTAAAGAGCTTATTGTCTTAACGTAGAGTTTTCCAACCGTGTTGTATTACTAACTGCCTTTTTGGTTTGTTTGGAACGAACACGCTGTTCATCTGAGAATGCTGCTGGTCGGGAAGTGTGGCAGAGGAGGGCTGTGGTGTTGGGCGTGAGGATGGAGGGTCCTCTGGAGAAGGTTTAAGTGCGGCAGTGAGTTAGGGATACATTCAAGTTACCCATAAAAGCAGAGCTGAGCAGGTGCTTTTCTGCTCGGTGTTGCGTAGTGTGAGTGAAAAGAGGTTTCAGGTATTTTGCTGTGCTCTTTTATTGTGACCAGGTAGGATCTACTCCCAAGTAACTAGCAATGGAATGAGAGAAAACGGCCTAAAGTTGTGTCGGGGGGGGGGTTTAGATTAGAGATGAGGAAAAATGTCTTTACTGAAAGAGTGGTCAGGCATTGGACCAGGCTGCCCAGGGCAGTGGTGGAGTCCCCATCCCTGGAGGGGTTCAAAACCCGTGTAGATGTGGCACTTGGGGACATGGTTTAGCAGGCATGGTGGTGTTGGGGTGACGGTTGGACTTGATGCTCTTAGAGGTCTTTTCCAACCTTAATGATTCCATGATTCTATGATTGTAGTTAACATTCTTAATTCTTGCTTTTTATATGCTGTCTTAAGCACTGATATTTTATTCTTGATTTTTCTTTCTGAGCCTTTTTCTCTCTCCCCTTTAAGATTCCCTTACATAGAGTGGTCAGGCATTGGACCAGGCTGCCCAGGGCAGTGGTGGAGTCCCCATCCCTTGAGGGGTTCAAAACCCGTGTAGATGTGGCACTTGGGGACATGGTTTAGCAGGCATGGTGGTGTTGGGGTGACGGTTGGACTTGATGCTCTTAGAGGTCTTTTCCAACCTTAATGATTCCATGATTCTATGATTGTAGTTAACATTCTTAATTCTTGCTTTTTATATGCTGTCTTAAGCACTGATATTTTATTCTTGATTTTTCTTTCTGAGCCTTTTTCTCTCTCCCCTTTAAGATTCCCTTACATAGATAATGAGATTGTAGCTTGTTTGTGTAGCTCGTTATCTCCTTGCTTCCTCTCTGAGGTGCCACATTTGACATTTTAGTAGGAAATTGTCTTTGGGGCTCCTGATTTTTTTAATTTTTTTTTTAATAATGGCCAAAGAGGAGCTATGAGAAGTATACATACTCAAATTTTATTTTTGCTGGTTGGAAAAATCTAGCTATTAGGTGGAAAAACAATAAGGATGTGCAAAAGCTGCAAATTCGGTAATTGAAGTTATACTAAGGGTTGGAAGAGTAGGTAGCTGGAAAAAGAAAGCACTTGTATTTATTCTTTAATTTTATTTTTTGTGTGAGTGCTTCTAAACTGACTTTGTGGCAAAAAGAATAGGACCCAGGAGGGAGCAAGGAGCGCTTCTGCTCACGTTGCGGCTTGGAAAGTGCCATTCAGATGGACTCTGCTGTGCTCTGTGTTGCCAGAACACCCGTGAGACCGCCCAGGCCATCAAGGGGATGCACATCCGCAAGGCCACCAAGTACCTGAAGGACGTCACGCTGAAGAAGCAGTGCGTTCCTTTCCGCCGCTACAACGGGGGGGTCGGCCGCTGTGCCCAGGTGAGGCCCGAGCGTGGGGAGGACGCTGTGGCTGGGCAGAGGGGACAGAAAAGACGATGTTGAGACAGCGTAGGAGCAGTCTGTTAATACATAGCATCAGCCTAAGAGAGAGGAAAAAGTTAATTGCAGCACAGCAAGTATTGCATCTACTTGAAGTGCCAAGTTATTGATCAAATGTAAGTATTTTTGTACGCAGCCTTAATAAGAGGGGGTGTAATGGCAAATCACCGGCGTGTAAAGGGCGGGGTGTGTTGTACCAGGATAAACCTGGAGCTCTCCTCTCCTTCCAGGCCAAGCAGTGGGGCTGGACGCAGGGACGCTGGCCGAAGAAAAGCGCCGAGTTCCTGCTCCACATGCTGAAAAACGCAGAGAGCAACGCGGAGCTCAAGGTGGGCCGCGTGGGCGTCGCGAAGCGCAGCGTGTTGGTGTCGCGCTGCCCGTCGGCACTCCCCAGCGCGGCGGCAGGGGGACGCCTGCGGTGCGGATGGAACCGAGCTGTGTAGAGGCTGTTGGCGTCCTGCTCATCTGAGTTGGGCTGCACACATTCTTCGAGCTAAAATGGGAGTGAGGGTTTTTCACAGGTAGCTCGTTTGTCAGCTGTATAAATGTAGGTTAGAGCTCTGAAAATCTACAAAACCTGTGGGCAGTTGGTCAAGTGTCTATCTTTGTCATCTGCTCAGCGCTTAATTCTCTACAACTACCTGAAAGGGTGTTGTAGCGAGGTGAGTGTTGGTCTCTTCTCCCAAGTAACCAGTGATAGGACGAGAGGAACCAGCCTCAAGTTGTGTCAGGGGAGATTTAGATTGGGTATTAGGAAAAATGTCTTTACTGAAAGAGCGGTCAGGCATTGGACCAGGCTGCCCAAGCAGTGGTGGAGTCCCCATCCCTGGAGGGGTTCAAAACCCGTGTAGATGTGGCACTTGGGGACATGGTTTAGCAGGCATGGTGGTGTTGGGGTGACGGTTGGACTTGATCTTAGAGGTCTTTTCCAGCCTTAACGATTCTGTGATTTGGTAGCCGATGGCAGTGATGACTATCTTAGGACACCTTTGGAACAGCCATGAAATAATAAATCCCTCATTCTGAGCCATCGGCACCGCATTAAAAACCCGCTGTGATGCAGAGAAGGGCGGTCAGTGTTCTTGTGCTTTCGGCTGGTCCTTGCTGGGCAAACGGTCGGTTCAGTGACGCTGCCAAGCTCCGCCGTTTTATTTGTTGGTGGTGATCATTCACGTTTTCGCCGCAGAGATGGTTTATTTGAAGAGCAAACCAGGTCGCGGGTTTTCTTCCCCAGGGTCTGGACGTGGACTCTCTGGTCATCGAGCACATCCAGGTGAACAAGGCTCCCAAGATGCGCCGGCGCACCTACAGAGCCCACGGCCGGATCAACCCCTACATGAGCTCCCCGTGCCACATCGAGATGATCCTCACCGAGAAGGAGCAGATCGTCCCCAAGCCGGAGGAGGAGGTGGCCCAGAAGAAGAAGGTACCCAGCGCCGCGCCCTTAGTCCCCTCTCACCTCGCCGTCGCGAAGCCCGGGCGTTGAGGCGACGGGTTCTCCTGTTTGCTGTGATGACCATCTTGGCACACCTTTGGAACACCCGTGAAAAAAATAAGTTATTTCTGAGCAACCTGCCTATTTCCTGTCAGTGTGGCGCCAGGGCCGTGGGAGGGTTGGC